GAGAAGTCAAAATGACTGACTTCCTCACTCAAGCTGCTGTCAGCAAGGTACTGGGACGAGAGATATCGAACAGAACGGCCTAAGAAGAAATAAATACTAATCTATCTCTCGATCATAGTAATTGATTGATGTAATATYTGAGTAAACAAGACGCTCTTGGAGCGTGCACTGGGTTGYCSAWTGTAAGCGGGTACTTATTTATTTAACATTTTAGGTGTATTTTTCTTTCAGAACATGCGAAAACTTACTTTTTCTCACATCAAGTTTATTCAAAWGTGTACACCWTTTWAATGTGTTTTATTTTAATAAAGATGTACCGCTTTTGTATATCTTTTAACCAGTGAAGTGGAATGACACTCGATTAGTTAAACTATACACATGCGGTTTTGTAACCCGAGAAAACACAAAACAGCAAAAACATGCCCAACTTCTAAAACTTGTTTTCCTCTTCTAAATGCYCGAATTTTGAGTGTTTTTTAATATTGGAAAATCCGGAACCGTACATAGATGGAATGGACTGGACTTCGGTTGGCTGGATCGTACGGAACGTAGACGTTCATTTACGCCGAATTTGCAGCTTTTATCCTATGATTTTTATTTTTTTATAAATAACTAGTGATTCTATTCCGAAATTTGGCAAAAAATTTTTTTTGGATCGTGGCACAGGTTGAAGTCATGTGAAGCCGGTCAGTGGTAAAGTTTTTTCAAAGGACTGTATACTTCATGTGTCTATAGGTGACTAATTTTCCTCCATTAAGATGCTATTAAGATAAATTCGATGTTATTTGGATGTGACTGCAATGGATTGGTTGTGACTGAAATGGATTKCAAGTGACTGGGCATCAGTCAGTGACTGGTTCTTAAATCACATTTTTTGAATTTTCACCTTTTGAATGGCTATGGATAATCTTAATGTATAGTAAAAAGATGCCCTACCTCTAAAATTTGTTTTCCTCTTCTATATGCCCGAATTTTGAGTGTTTTTTAATTTTGGAAAATTTGGAACCGGACATAGCTGGAATGGACTGGACTTTGGTTGGCTGGATTGTACGGAACGTAGACGCTTTTTTTACGCCGAATTTGTAGCTTTTATCCTATGATTTGTATTTTATCATAAATAACTAGTGATTCTATTTCGAAATTTGGCAAGAAAATGCCACGAGACGCTCTTAGAGCGTGCACTGGGTTGCCCAATGTGCTGGTATGCTGGAGCTTATTTAACACCTAATCTTTGTTATGTACCACTATTTGGGAGGAGCGAGTATTTTGAAACATTTTAGGTGTAATTTTTCTTTCAGAACTTGCAAACACTTTTTTTCACATCAAATTTGTTCAAAAATCTTTTTAAATATACAAATCAGTGAAGTGGAACTGTGAAACTCGGTTAGTAAAAGGATTCAAAACTTAGTGAAAAGTATTTACGGCCAAAGTTAACAGCTCTATTACTGCGTAGTATTTAACAATATATTTATGAATATGTCTTCAAGATTAGCTAGAGACTGAAAGCTGTATTTTTCTTTAGGCTCTACTAACCCGCGCGATTGATGCCAGAATACTGCCGACTGAGTAGCTGTATTAATACTGACAAATATCTGAATTACAATCCTAGAAAGTTTTTTTACTGCTCAATCATATTACTTCTAAAGCGCGGAATTACATCCTCAGCTGCTAAGCCAATCTATAAGCCATTTATCTATGAACACGTCATTCAAATCCATATATGGGTACTCTTGTGCAAGAATGCACATTTCGCTAGAAGACTWMAAAAAAAAAGGCATTTTRMGATTGGGCTGCCRCAGGCAACCCAGTAAWAAAGAAAAGACATTTTAGCTTYACCTGTGTAACCAGGCGATCCATTCGGCGAGCCTTCTTCAAAATCACGTGATCGTGCCTCTGTTCTTATTGACGTCATTTGCTTCTTACGAGCGATTGGAGCCTAAAAATAGAAATATAGACGACCCTAGTAAATCTGAAGCACCCAAATTAACATTCGCGTCTAAAAGCGAATTGGAAAGTGCACACAAGAATCTTAAAGCACCTACTTTCTTTTGAAGATTTAAAAATGCGGCGGTTTTTTAGGGACAGCGCAACACTTTTTTCAAAGTGGATGGTGGATGGGGTCATCTTTTTTTCCCCTTTATACGGAACTCAAAATAAGGCGAAGTAAGGTGTCATACTCGTAAGTGGCTAATGTCCCCTCCTAAACCTTAGAATTAGAAAACTAGTCAAATATCGTTCGTACTTACTGACAGCACGGTTTCAAATTCATACTTTCTGTTGCAATCAATGAGATTATCGAAAAGAAACTGACCCTGYAAAGTATTCAAAATAGCGCATTACAAACTAGTAGTATTAATAAACTGGTGGTTTTCAAGGTCGCCATGATGGATGACTGCTCCGTATTGGTTTTTGTTGTTATGTCATCCAACATGGCGGCCATGCCAACCACTGTAAAAATGTCATTTTTGGAAGCTTTTGCTTGTGCTATCTTTATCATAAAAGGAGAGGAGGAAGGAAGAAAGGAATAAAGAAAGAATATTTAATAACAATCGAGTGAAATGGGAGACAAAATGGGAGTTTTTTTTGGCAAAAATGAAGCGATTTCTACGAACCTTGATTGGGTTTTCGGAAAACAAGAATCCAAAATAAAACTTCTGATCGACTTGTGTACAGGAGATAAGAGCCACCAGTGAGTTATACGCRTAGCAGTGCAGTTGTCTACGAAGATCCAGTAGGACTGTTTCACCTCGCATATCCTCACTCTTTACTGAATGGGCACATCTTAAAAAAATGAACAGATTCTGCGTTACTGCGTTATAATGTCACGCTTCTAAATATTTTTACGTGCTTTGCGTGACGATTATGTGTTGAGTTGAGAAATAGAGCTCCTCGGGTCGGGCGTAATGTTTTCCCATTTAAGATCACGAGTCAGTTCCTTGAGAATAAGATTCTTTGTTTGAGTTGTATCCATATTCATGTGTTTTCTCGTGTGCAACCGTAAAACAAAGAAATGATAGTCAAGGGAATGACAAGTGGTCTGAAATGGGAAAACTTTACGCCCGACCCGAGGAGGTCTATGAAGTACATTCAAGAGATCATGGTCTCTTGGTACAGTTTTGAAATATTCGTAATAATCGCGCGACAGCAACAAAAAACAATGATAGAAAAATAACAATGTCGTGAAATTTAAGAAGAGGTCAAAAATCTGGAAAAAAAAGTCGTATTGACGTGGGTGCTTTCAGATTAACTAGAGTCGTTGTCAGGGAAGTCAAGAATGTGAAAACAAATTCAAGAATCCAAAACCATGTTTATCCCGTATAAATCCCGATGGAGGCTGAGAACTTACTTTGTAATAGCCATTGTCAACTCCTTCCCAGTCTTCGGTTGGTCACAGTATGCTTTGTTGATGAGGGACTGGGGAGTATTYAGCTCGTTTTTATTAAGTCTAGTGTACAATACTTCAATGAGCTTGAAGCAGCCAAGCTTTGATATCAACTGGTTTTCGTAYGAGGGATCGCTAACCTGAAAAATATATTGACGAAATGTAAGAGATTTTATGGACAATGGTAGTATCGGATGAAAGAATAAAACATGCATATTCTTTGGAATGTTAGACTAACGATTAAAGTGCTATTAAACTACAGCCACTGTTATGAAGACTGTAAAAAAAAGACTGTCTTGAGTTGTGGTTCAGTATTGTGATTGGATGAACAGAGGTAGGACATTTGTTGGGGGTGGGGTGGGTGAGGGAGTCCTGCTCCCCCCTAGCTTTATTTTCTAAACGAAAGTTAAGTGTAACACTTATAGACTTCATTACATTCGTTGTTACCGCCTTCTGAATTTCCTGCTTTCGCTCCCAGGATTCTAACCGTGACCGTGTAATATGCAGAGATTTTTCGCGCTCCAACGAAATCTATTCTACAAAAGGTAATTTACTACACCGTTGTCAGTGTACTTTTGGCACTGTCAAATCGTTTCAAAGTATTCCTTCGACGTAGAAAACAAGTTCTCACCCTCAGAGACTTGGCTTCAAGGATTCCCATGATGGACTTGACGTGGCAGCTGTAAAACTCAACCAGAGTTTTCTTCGATGCGTTGGTCAGCAGCGGTATGCACATGCGCAGTACAGCTGCGCGTCGAGTATCATTWCGGTGATCTAATTCGCTGGTGAATATCTCGTAACATATATCCACTGCTTGCTTGGCCTGTGACGGGGTGGGACTGAGTCTAGAATAAAATAAAATGTYATTATGCCTTGGAATTATTTAGGTCGGATATTTTTGGAATGTCACGAGGCCTTCACATATAAACATCAAAAACATAACATTTATTAGTAGCGTGAATATTAGTCTGTAGGCTTATTAGTCACGTGTCTTTTTGCTCCATAGGCTTATTAGTCACGTGTCTTTTTGCTCCATAGGCTTAGTAGTCACGTGTCTTTTTGCTCCATAGGCTTATTAGTCACGTGTCTTTTTGTTCCATAGGCTTATTAGTCACGTGTCTTTTTGCTCCATAGGCTTATTAGTCACGTGTCTTTTTGCTCCATAGGCTTATTAGTCACGTGTCTTATTGCTCCATAGGCTCATTAGTCATGTGACTTATTAGTCTGAAGGCCTTTCCCGAGTTCGAAAACAAAGTGCATTGTGGTCTAGTTTGGGTACAAACAATACCATATAAGGCATGATTAACACAAGATGTTTGTATCCAAGCTAGACAACRATGCACTGTTTGCTATCCCAGAAAATTTCTTAAAATATTTATACTCATATCCTGTATATTTATCATTTGTTTATTCACCTCTTGATAAAACCAACGATTGAGGCCTGTATCTGGTCTTCATGCACGTGTTTCTCCTCCCGACACATGATGCTTGACAACAGCCGCAGAAGAAGACAACTACCAGACGACACGAGTGCTACAAGCAACTAAAACGAAGCAAACAATGAGATAATAGAGGCCTTTAGCATCGTGTTWACCTGTAACCGCTAGGAATCAGGCCYCGAAAAACGCCCGCAAACACGGAGAAACACTCGGCATCAAYGAAATTCAATATGGCCACTCTTCCAGCAACAACTTCGTTATGATGCCTTGATAAATGTCGAAARKTTGAAGGTAARCGACTGACGTCGAACTGCAGTTTGAGGTTTGCGGGCCAACTACGACGAGAAGATACATTTATATCTTCCTCTGCAAAAATAATAGACCGTTTTCTCAAGGTTGCGTGCGCATCCAAATTTAAGGAACTTGACGGACCACGATACYAGAATACGAGTATTTTCATGCATTGCTATGAAATTTTCTTCGATAAGAATTCATAAAATCGATTATTCTCAATCTTTAAATATAAAACTGAATTTGCGTTTTTCAGTTTTGTGGCAAGTCAAGTTGGAGAAACCGTTGAGAAAACGGTCTATTCGAGAGACACAATGGTTTTTCCAGAAAAAAAGCCTAACGATTTCACACCCATGTGCCGGGTTTTTTAAAAGGATGTTTCTAACCAAGAGACCATGAAAGACACTTGTTCTAACCTTATCCAATGCAGTTATGTAATCGTTGTATTTTGGACTTCCAGGAATAAACTCTGTGGACCTTAGAGGGAAGTTGTCAGCAACCAGCGCATCAAGACATGACCTGAAAAATTGAAGGAAATATTTATTTTGGCCGAAAATACACGATAGCCTTGGAAGTTTTTTTTGAGCAGTCCCTCCCGGTGGGGATGAGTTTTTGGCCGCTAGTTCAAAGGTTTTTCAAAAGACTGTATACATCATGTGTCTATAGGTAACTCGGTGGATCGTTAAGATATTTACGACTAATCTCCTCCATTAACATGCTATTGAGATAAATTGGATGTTATTTGGATGTGACTGGAGCGGATTGGTTTTGACTGAAATGGATTGCAGGTGACTGGGCCTCAGTGACTGGATCTTGAATTACAAAAAAAAGTTTTGAATTTTCACCTTTTGAAAGTCCATAGACAATCTTCATGTATAGAAAAAACATGCCCAACTTCTAAAACTTGTTTTCCTCTTCTAAATGCCCGAATTTAGAGTGTTTTTTAATTCTGGAAAATCCGGAACCGTACATAGATGAAATGGACTGGAATTCGGTTAGCTGGATCGTACGGAGCACAGACGCTTTTTTACGCCGAATTTGCAGCTTTTATCCTATGGTTTATATTTTATTATAAATAACTAGTGATTCTATTCCGAAATTTTGCAAAAAAAAAAAAAAAAAAAAAAAAACATCAAAAAATGCAAATTTAAAAAAATGTTTTGGGTCGTGGCACTACATGCGTCTGCATTTTATATTCCTTAAATATGGCGGTTGTGGTTCTTACACTCCACCGCGTGTCAGTTATTGGAAAGAAAGTACACAACAACGAAACAACGAAAGGCAAGGTTGTTCAAAACGAAAGCCATTCTCTTGAATTAGAAACTTAATATATTTCCTTACCTGAGACTGGATAGCTGGTCTTGTGGCATTCTTGTGAAATACGGCAAGAGTTCAAGCGCACGACTCTGTAGAGCCAAAAAAGTGCAATCAAAAATTGTTATGATATTAGGCTAATTTGCATAAAAGGGATTTGACTCGAATGTATTGCTTGGCATCAACCATTACCTTAAARGCAAGGGTCAGTGATCTGTCAGTCAGGAGYGAGGAGTACATCGAGAAGACTGAGTTGGTTGTAGGGTTTCCTGGCTCCGTTAAAAACTGCAAACAAACAAACMAACTGAAAGTCTAAGCAAAATAAAAATGTCTATATTGCATTCTGGGTGCYTCTCTCCACCCAGTTGTATGAATGGGTACCAACAAACTATTGGGTGTAAACTGGCCAGACACCAGGGGGTAACATGTGATGCACTTGCATTCTTACTGGGTATCCCTATCAACCCATTTGCATTCTTACTAAGTGCCTCCCTCCACGCAATTGTATGAATGGGTACCAACAAACTACCTGTTGTAAACTGACAAGGCGCTGGGGGTAATGTGTGGTTCATTTGCATTCTTACTAAGTGTTTTTCTCCACCCAAATGTATAAATGGGTCCAGGAACAGCACAGTGGCATTAACAGTCATACTAAATAAATAGCTTGAATAGCTTTCAAGAACGCAACCCTTACCTTGGAATCAAGCATGAGAATCTTCTTAAGTAATTCAAGTAAAGAGTGTTTGAGGTCGATTGAGCTGGAGGATGACCAAAGAGTGTGCAATGTATTCCATGATTCCAAGACGGTGACACCAATACGAGCACCATATCTGGAAGGAAATAATCAACACATGAGATGMAATAATCTGTAGAATGATCATGCATTCCTGTCTGGTATACCTGGTTCTGAGGRACTTTTCCCTGTACACTTGGTCCAGGATAGCATTTAACATGGTACACACCTAGTAAGCAAAAAACATCATCATCATCATCATCCTGATCATCATCCTGGTCAAAATCATCACCTGATCGACATTGTCATCATCATCATCACCATCATCATCATAAGGGACCTGTCATTATTTAAGTCGGAGGGAGTGGGGTGGGGTAAAAGAGAAAATGTTTTTGATGCAAAAAATTTTTTCAGACCCCTACCTTAATGGCATTGTTCCACTAAAAAAAATTGAGGGCCCCCCTTTTCTTCTCCACCCCCCTCCCCGACTTAAATAATGACTGGTCCCTAATTATGCAAAGCTTCTAAAACTTGTTTTCCTCTAGTTCCAAATGCCCGAATTTTGAGTGTCTTTTAATTTTGGAAAATCCGGAACCGTACAAAGAAGGAATGGACTGGACGGACTTCAGTTGACTGGATCGTACGGAACGTAGACGTTTTTTATGCCCAATTTGCAGCTATTCTATGATTTGTATTTTATTATAAATAATTAGTGATTCTATTGTGAAATTTTGTAAAAATAAATGCAAATTTTTTTGTTTGTTTGGAACGTTGCACTGGTTGAAGTCCAGTGAAGCCGGTGAGCAGCAAAGGTTTTCCAAAGGACTGAATACATCATGTGTCTATATGTGACTCTGTGGATCGTTAAAGATTTTTACGACTAATTTTCCTCCATTAAGATGTTAAGATAAATTGGATGTTATTTGGATGGGGCTGGAATGGATTGGATGGGACTGAAATAGATTGCAAGTGACTGGGCCTCACTCAGTGACTGGAACTTATATCACCAAAAAAAGTTTTGAATTTTCACTTTTTGAAAGGCCATGGATAATCCTAAAGTATAGCAAAAACATGCCCAACTTCTAAAACTTGTTTTACTTTTCTAAAAGCCCTAATTTCGAGTGTTTTTTAATTTTGGAAAATCCGGAACCGTACATAGATGGAATGGACTGCTTTTCGGTTGGCTGGATCGTACGGAACGTATACGATTTATTACGCCGCATTTGCAGCTTTTATCCTATGATTTTTATTTTATCATAAATAGCTATTGATTCTATCCCGAAATTTTGCAAAAATAAATGCAAAATTTTTTGTTTGGATCGTGGCACTTGTTGAATTCCAGTGAAGCCGATCAGCGGCAAAAGTTTTTCAAAGGACTACATACATCATTTGACTGATCATGATCATGATCATCATCCTCTTTATCATTATCATCATCATCATTATTATTATTATAGTCATCAGTTATCACCACAATCATCGCCAAAAGTAGCACCAACGAGAGCAGCTCTGTAGAATCACTTTTAATTCAATCTATTTTGTATTCTTTTTCATTATCAATCATTTTCATCGCCACCATCACTATCACTATCCCYTTTTATCATCATTCATCATCATACCTTAGTATCATCATACCTGTCATATCATACCATACTTCACCCTTACAACACTACATCCTGCCTTACCTTATCATTCTCTATCCTGTCATACCACAGGAAACCCACATCACACCACGTCCCTATATTACCGTACTATACCGTACCACACCACACCACTGTTACCCTACTCTACCCTACACACTATTCCAGGTATATAATCTCACCAGTTTAGGATGATCAACAGACAACGAAATAAGCTTAGTAAGGTTGGAATCTTTCTTGATGAAATATCCATTGACAGCAGATTGGAAGGCCCTGTAGAACGCYTCGCCCAACACACTATCAGCTGATGAAAAAAAGAACCAAAACAATGAGAATAAACATGGATCTCGGTCAAACTACGAATAAACGTGCTCTTACCTGCACCGGAAGACTTAATGATACATCTTTCCAACGCTTCGTGCTGGAAATATTAGGTAAATATTATTTTTTGTGGTGAGAGTGTAAAATGCACGCAACACATTAATACTCTAGTTTCGAGTTCYTTCTTGGTCAGGATTATTTTTGTGTAAATTTTGTGTGAAATATTCATGTGTTCAAATGAATGTCTGCAGAATTTTTAAACATTTTGTATTGTTTACGTTGTGCATCCTTTACTTTACTGTTTTGACACTGATATGAGGATAACCCCGAGTAAAAGAATCTATGATCCAGGAACACAGCGGTATTGTAAGAGCTCAATAAAAGGTCGAAGTGAGATCAGCCATGTTGGATGGTGGAACACAGGAGGGGGGGGGGGTTAACATGACGGTAGCAAGATATCAACCAGYGTCACTCACTTGAATTCCAAGGTCTATCGCTAGTTCCAGGAGCTTGGAAGCCAACTGATGCGATGCAGGTGTGAGCATGACAATGTTTGTATTTCCGCTGACCGTCGGACGAACTCCCTCGTAGACAGAATTGAGAATCCTAGAACCACAGGCTTCAGCAGAAAGTGACCCCTGCAGCAAGAAAGAACAGGTAAGACAGGAAAAATGACAACTATGACAATAAGCACAAAAACAAMAATGGAAAAAACAACAATGAAAAAGAACTAACAGAATACATTATCAACAACAATAATAACGATAATAATAACAATATTATCAACAACAATGATACTAATAGAAATAATAATAATAAAAGAAGAAAGAATAAACGACACCAAAAATGCATCAACAATAGCAACAACAACAATAACAAATGACAATAATGACAATAAAAACAAGATACAAAACACAGTGCGAACGATTAACATACCTACAAGAAAATAAGCAAACAACAACACTTAAAACACAAAAAGATACTAATGATAACGATAAAAATTCCCCCCATTTAATGCCCCTCACTAACCTGAGTCTGCAGTGCTTCCATCAGTAAGCCAGCGACATGCAGTTGTTGGTATCCAGTGACAAGGTGAGTCAGGTGAAGGTGATCGAGGTGAGTCTCACCACTTCCAGACAGTGGGATTGGCAGCTGTTCGAGCAGGTTGCATCGGCTGTAAATAGAGGGATTGAACCACTAAGASAACACTGCATAACATGGAGTTTTTGCACCAAAATCAAAATCATCAAAATTTGCGTCAAAATCCGAGGTGTGGGTTGGTGGAGTGTTGGGGGGGGGGGGGGGGGTATAAGCTATATTTAGTTAGTATCACTAACCTGCCAAGAGAAAGCTTTTTAACCAAGCAGTTTTTGAATACAGACAAGTGGCTGTGCGGAAGAGAACGAGCCATAGCAACACATACAGCTAGTGTCTGTTAAAAGAAACCATATACAAATAAAATACATCAAATCCTATCAAGGCACTCTTTGAGGAAGTGCACAAACACCCCAGCGAACCTCTCTCAGATCAGCCCTGAGTGCCTCTTAGCTAAATCTACCGTGCACAGGCGCCCCAGTAAACATTTCCCAGATCTGAGTGTCTCTTAGTTAAATCTGCCGTGAACAGGCAACCCAGTCAACATTTTCAAGATCTGAGTGTCTCTTAGTTAAATCTACCRTGCACAGGCACCCCAGTAAACATTTCCCAGATCTGAGTGTCTCTTAGTTAAATCTGCCATGCACAGGCAACCCAGTGAACATTTCCCAGATCAGCCCTGAGTGTTTCAAAGTTAAAGTTTTACTACATTTGTCTTGGTCTTACTTGTTCTGGCAGATTTTCAATGACCTCGACGTCACCCACATTGAACCCTACGGCTCCTGGTTCCAGCAAGCAACTCAGAATGGTGTTAAAAAGTGACTCGTTCCAGAAGTCGGTAGGGACCACCTTTGATGGGAAACGGCAAACAAGGTATATGAACTTGGTTGGGAATACTTTGGAGTATTTGGTGCAGAGAAGCAGAWAACAAAACGCTACGACTACGATAAAAAAGCAGCAATTGTTGCTGCAACATCAACATCAATATCAACAACAGCAACAACAACATTAACAGCAAAAAAACAACCACAATAGCAGTAGCAGTAACAACAGTAGCAGCAGCGACGATAAGAGTACCAGCAACGGCAATATAAGCATTAATAGCAGCAGCAGCAACAACAACAGCACAGCAACGACAACAGCAGCAGCAACGACAACAGTAGCAGCAGCAACGATAAGAGTAGCAGCAACGGCAATAGAAGCATTAATAGCAACAGCAGCAACGACAACAGCACAGCAACGACAACAGCAGCAGCAACGACAACAGTAGCAGCAGCGACGATAAGAGTAGCAGCAACGGCAATAGAAGCATTAATAGCAGCAGCAGCAACGACAACTGCATCAGCAACGACAACAGCAGCAGCAACGAGCAACATCAGTGACAACTGTAGTTGCAACAATGATTACACCTTTAATAATAACATGAACAGCAGCAGCAGGTCAACAACAACAACAACGAAGACGATGTTCAAGCTAAAAAAGCTGGGATACGGTAAAAGTAATAAAGYCTGTTTACCTGAAGGCTTTCTTTGGCGTATCCCTGAAGTAGAACTGTGACGAAATTCATGGTCCTCACTATAACCGTACATTTGGCCCTACACAAAAAATATACAAAGAAAATAGTTTAAAAAGGTGACAAAAGAAGCATACATAACTATATTAATGCAACTGGTGTAAAACAGGTCTTTTCCTGTTGTTGTGTGGTATGTTTGTGTTACTATGGTTACTGTGTCTAAACAAACGTTTTGCCCAGTCCCTGCGCGACAAACAAGTGCTTTCCTCACACAAGGATATAAATAAAAACATCCAACTACACTAACCTATTGTATTCGTCGATTTCCTTCGGACTAAAGACGTCTTCCGTTCCTCTAGATGATGAAGTTGACTTGAAACACCCGGCAGCGGCCTGGATACTAAACATGGCAAGTTCTGACAGGAAGTGACGTAAAGAACGGAACAATACACTTTTGTAYTTTACTTCCGGTGCCGAGTCTGAAACGAGAAATGTGTAAAAATTACATATCGAGAGAGTTGAATAGTATGTAATCGTTATGACGTCATCACCGCCATGCTGGATTAACATGGCTGCCAAAATGGCTGAATTTCCTTTTGGTTTCAGGATAAACGAAAACTTACCAACAAAAACATCCCGAGGAGAGAGAATTCGTTCTCCAAACGCCCACGAGTAGCAATCGAGRGAAGCAAGAAGAAAGTCATACCAGATCAAAGTCTCTTTTAGAGAAAACGTACCGCCCAAATCAGGTAGGRTGGGGTAGGTAAGGAGGCCATTTTTACCTCCACCACCGCCTTCAAACCTGAAAGATCATCAGTAAAACTGTCATTTGGTTGGAGAAAACTGGAGCGCAAATGACAAAGGGATAGAGAGGTTTAACAGCAGTCATGCTAGAAGCAAAACAGAAGTTTTCTCTTTTAGGAATTAAATCTCTCGTCATAGGTCGTTTCTGAGTTTGATAAATAGAATGCATTGTGGTCTAGCTTGGGTACAAACAACACCATATGARGAAAATTATGTTTGYRCCAAAGGTAGACCACAMTGTACCATGCTCTCTATCTCAGAAAAGGTCTGTTTCTGCCCTACAACAAGGCGGCTACCGCGAAATCCCTCTATTCCATCTCAGAACTTGAGTACAATTATTCGTAAATATTCAAATAATTAAGTGACCTGTGTACGAAGTAAGAAGGATATTCCTCGTGTGTCCTCTTCATCCATAACTCCGCAGACGATGTTCCTGGAAAGAAAAGATCAAATTATCAGGAGCTTTCAAAAGAATTTGAAGGTTTCTGGTCAACATCTTAATCAAAGTCAGAGCACAGTAACTACGTGGCTCACGAAAAGTAATTGAAGATGAGCCCGCATTACCTGGTAACAGATGAGCCAGCTGACAAACAAGTCTCATACACTGSTGTCTACACTCRGTCTGCGGTTTCCCACAGTGTTTGATCAACCAAGGCATCACGTGACTCAGGGTTACGCTTCCAAGYTCGTCGCGTTTGTTCCGTTSTTTCTCGAAACCCCTGTTGGCAAARAGGAGAGTGGTTATTGTTAGCTAAGAAATTCCAACACACTGTCCAATATATGGGTGGGTTCGGTTTTATCGGCAATGGGGTATGGACAAAACTGCGGAGGCCTGGGTACAACCTTGTTTCTATTTACAAGACCCCTATCGGATAATCTCAAAGTCCTGTAARAGACTATGACCAAGCTTTAGAGAAAGGGATATTCAAGTTATTATTTTCAAAATGGAGTATGACTAGATTTGCTTTGGATCGTGATTGGTCAAGATGAGTTAACGTCATTTCCGGTCACCAACTGCCAATCATAAACTGGAATGTTACCTTGGTATTCGTCTGTTTTTGTTTTCTTTGTTGAGAAGCCCAGCCTTTACTTTGATGATCCTTTCCATGTGTAAAATTACTTGTCTACATTGTTCCTGAGTACCTATAAAGAACCCAGAGAATTGTGTAGGAAAACTTAGCAGGAAGGAAATGAAAGGCTATGAAAGAATATGGGAGCTAAGAAACGAGGGATGGGAATTATGGAGGGCGAGAAGATAACTGAGGGAGAAAAGGACCAGGACGAAGGGGGAGGGAGAGTAGGAATCTACAGAGGGAGGGTAGGAATCTACAGAGGGGAGGTAGGAATCTACAGAGGGGAGGTAGGAATCTACAGAGGGAGGGGGGACTAAGGACAGACGGACAGCAGAGGGTGGAAGGTTGGAGTGAAGAAAAAAGCGGCAATAGTATCCTGCTCTTCCTCTTGCATCCAACGTCCGTCTACCTGCACCCACATCAATACATCTTGCACATACCCTGAGCGAGATCATCAGCATGAGCCAGSGCCAGACTGTCCAGATAWGTTACAAGAATCTCCAGTGCAAACTCGTCAACCAACGACGATTCCTCTCTAATTATAAAAAAAGAATGTGATTCTTATGTTCCTACATTTACAAGACTTAAAAGGTGTTAAGGAAATCAAGGTTGGCGTTGCAGTGGCGGATTCGCCTTTCATGAACATGAATGGGTCTCAGGTTTGATTCCTGGACATGTGTCACATGTGAGTAGAGTTTGTTAGGTCTCTTTCTTGATTCGCGAAGTTTGTAACCTCACCTGAATACCTTGTAGATATTATTGAACGCCAGCGCAGCTCCCAGTCTTTTAGAAGCGCTTGGATGCAATGCCAAGCTGTAGAGTCTCTTCAGCAGAGATTTGATATTGATAGGACTTTTTGCTAAATGCTGTTCCAAAAAGAAAATTATTGAACAAGTATGACGTTGATACCACCTTGAAAAACCATTCCTAAGGTTGGTTGGCCAAACGAGTGAACTAAAACTGCATTTATGTGAGCTAACAAGAAATTCTCCAATCTTCATGTCATATTTGCACCAAGGTAACTTCAAGAGGAATACGTTAATCGTCTAACCCAGTTTTGAACAATTTCGCACTTTCCTTGACCCTGCCAGCCTCGCTTTCATGACATCCCTCCACTATCATCTCCCAGTTGAGAAAAGATTTGCAACTTTTCTATCAAAATGTATCTCAGTGTATCAAAGATAAATAATCATAATATAAAGTGGTTCATAAATGAGTAACCTTTTGTGTCGTTTGCTTGATGGACCATTGAAGGAATTCACTCAAACACTGTGCAGTAAAATCCCTCAGAGCTGTATCCGTTGGATGAATTACTCCGTCCTGTGAGAGTTAAAGCAAGGCAACGTCTATTATCAGTAAAAGTATACAAGAATCCTTTATATTTAKAAGAAACAGTGTGTGCTGCTCATGCGAGTATTTGGGTCGGTAGACCAAAGTGATCGTTTCCTGTTCGAATTTTTGGTATTTTAAGGTTAAATCCATTTTATATATTTATTATTTATTATAAAATATATTTATTATATATTTCATATATATTCTCATACACATATGAATCCATTTTCTTACCAGCAAAGCTTCGAGTAAAGCCATGGTTTCTGGGCTCTCGTACTTGCGATTGTTCGTGAACCAGTGAATAAGTTGAGATACAAGAGGACGAAATAAYTGTGCTGCAACCTGTAATAAAAGGAAGCACATTTCTCACTTGAAGATTTTGAAAATTTTCAGTTTCTCTGCACTTATATTTGCAAAACGTACCCTTTCGACATCACAGGCAAGTTGGAGGAGAGCTGGGATTATTCGTTTCCACAGTTTTTCCATGAGGCTCTAAAAAAAAAAAAAGAAAAGAAAAAAATGTATCACACACAATAAGCCATTTGCAGGGCATAATCACACGACATCCTTACCATGGCAACACCTTCGGCCACAGCAATATATTTACTATGACAACACCTTTGGTCATGGCAACTTTTTCACCATGGCAACACCTTCAGTCACAGCAATATATTTACTATGACAACACCTTTGGTCATGGCAACTTCTTCACCATGGCAACACATTCAGTCACAGCAATATGTTTACTATGACAACACCTTTGGTCATGGCAACTTCTTCACCATGGCAACACCTTCAGTCACAGCAATATGTTTACTATGACAACACCTTTGGTCATGGCAACTTCTTCACCATGGCAACACCTTCAGTCACAGCAATATATTTACTATGACAACACCTTTGGTCATGTCAACACCTTTGGCCATAGCAATATGTTCAATACGACAACATTTTGTCATGGCAACTTATTCACCATAGCAACACTTTTTAGCATGACAACACCTTTGGCCATGGAATCATCTTTCGCCATCAAAATACTTTTAGCATTGACGAAAAMGTTCACCATGTCTTCCAAAAGATACTGAAAAACAACATCTTTTTCTCCATGGCAACACCTTTGGTCATGACATCATGCTTACCATGTTTTTGGTAAAATAACATTTTTACAGTCGGCGAAGGTAGAAAATATAATAATACACATAAATATAAATATATAAATATAATAATTGTAAAATCTAAGATAAAATGCATGTTGCTCTTTAATATAATTATCTCAAAAACTGCTTATGTAGTTTGAAGTAATTTTGGTTTATGTTTAGCAAATAAATTCAAAAACACCGGCTTTCAAGGACAATTAATAATCGTTGATTAATTCCAATTTTTTCAAGAAGGTAAACAATGGAAAATTCTTTTAATGAATGATTGTACTGAATTTTCGCGCAATTCCTTTTTCAAAACATTCTTTYCTTTTCCTTTGAAAGTAACGAGAGATATTTTTCTAACGAGTAACGAGACATATTTTTCTGTGATTTGAAACAAATATACGTCATATTCTTTTGATAAACAAACTGATCAAATACATTAGGAAAAAAGGAAAACCTGAACAAATGGAAACTGGGGTTAATCACACTATCTAACTTCTGAATCTCTGTTGTGTCGTGGAAAACAAACAAAAAATATGAAATCAAATGTCAAAGAAACTCGATAAAAAAAAAAAAAGCCGAAAAGATCTTATTTCTTAAGATAATTTCTTTTCAATTGTTTGTGTTGTTTAAATTTTTTTTTCTCATTTAAGGATTTTCTTGAGTCGAGTTTCCTTGATCTGAAATTCGCCCCAAAATAACTCAAAGTTCCAGATTTGAATTGGATTTGTAATTGGGACTCATCATAAAACGAGCTCTTTTGAAATAATATTTCCATTTTAGGCAGSTGCTAGATTGTTAAAATATAAAATGTAATTCAGATTTCGAAGGAAACTATCTAGGAAATATCAAGGCCAAATTTAGAGGAGGGATCGATAGTGCAGATTTAACCATTGATATTTATCTTTTGGCAACTATGCACCAAAATTATAAACAAATTACATTTAATAATAGCAGCAAACCGTCCTGATTCGAGGACTTTGTTTATCATTTGCCGACCTTATGGAAAAAAAAAAAAAAAAAACGTGTAAAGTTTGATGAAAAATTCTCCAATTCTCCAATTGAAAATTTGAAAATTCATCAAAGTTTTTTAGCTTCATGTAAAATGGAGAATTAATTGCTGTTTGTCTGAATCTAAAAAAAAACCACTGATTTTAATTACATTTTAAAGCGGCTTATGGTCCTAATTTGAAGACTTTCTTTATCATTTGCCGAAGKCATAGACAAATAAAGCGTGTAAACTTGAACGATATGCTATTTTCTAATTCAACTTTTGACATTTTGGAATAATTATGAATAGAAAAATCTTTCTCGAAAATTCATCAATGCGTTTTAGTTTGAAGCTAGACTGGAGAATTAATTTATGTTTGTCTTAATCTAAATGACAAATTAAATTTAAATTTTAAAATGTAATTTATTTCGCTGTTGTATCCCAGTTAGGGCTGTCATACTACCAAGTGCAAAGACAGGCTCCAATCTCCAATGCAGCTCTGCAACTGCAACAAGGAACTCTTTAACAAGCAACTCTTCAACAGCGGTGAGAGGCCCTCAAAATATTTATTTAATTTCGAGTCGATAAAATTAGTTTATCGGCATTCTTTTGAAGTATGGTATTTACAGCAACTTTAAAGTGCTACTACGACGAAAATCGCTCGAACTTGGATTCAGCTGAAACTTCCT